CCTCCTCCTCCTCCTCCTCCACCACCTCCATCTCCTACTCGCCCTCCGCGCCACGACGCCGCCCGGGTGCCGTGGCCCGCCTCCAGATTACGATTAGGTAAGCTTCTGGCAAATTGAGACACATGGCAGCCCTGGGAGAGCAGAGAGGGCCGCGGGGAAGGAGGAGGGCCGGGGGCAGCAGGCAGCAGCAGGCGGCGAGATCACACTAAAGGCAAGTGGGTGCGCTCCGGGGAAGGGGGTGGCGGGGGTTGGCGGGGGGCGGCCTGATGCGAGCCACCTGCACGCGATATGCGTTACGCACGGCCGTGCCCGTGCGGCATTTCCCAGGAGAGTGGATATCGCAGGCGGGACGGGTCGAAGGCGAGGCCTGGCAGGCGCCGTGGCGCGAAAGTAATCTACGGGCGGTATGGGCGGGATTAACTGTGAGGTTGAGGAGGGGGTTGGGATTGAATGAGGGGAGAGGGGGGTGGAGGGGGGCAGCAAGGATAACGAGTTTCATCTCCACAGGTGTAGATAACTGGAGGCGCGGCGGAGGTCATCATCAACGCCAGCAGGGCAGTCAGTGACGGACGGCGCGCGGTCGTTGTGTGCTCGCCTCGGTGCTCGCTGCCCGCCCCACTCGCTATTCGGATTCGGATGGTGGACCGGCAGCCGGGGAAGCAGACAGATCAGCAGATTGGGTACACTGCTGCCCACGGTGTAGAAAGATCTCCCTACAACGTGCTGCTGCCTTTTAGAGGCGGGGGTCCTGCCTAGAAATGTATACGCCGAAAAGCGTTTCACAAGAAAGTAGTAGGGAGCCATACCAACATGGTTGCGCACCCGGGACTCGTAGTTTTTCATTTTAGTAGCATATGCAACACAGCAGAATACCCGGTGGCATACTCGACTCACGCCGCGCACTTTCGGAGTTATACTGCACCGTATGCACGGGTGCGGGCCGGCTGGCCTATCATTGCCCCCCCCCTTTCCCCCGGCGAGTAGGCAACCCACCCGCACCCGTGTATGCGGTACAGTATAACTACCAAAGTGCGCGGCGGCGTGAGTCGAGTCAGCCACCTGGTGTAGTAAGAGGAGTAGGAACCGAAAATATGTTGTAAACCACCTTTTGGTACGTTGTTTCTCGGCTTTTATTTCGTCTGAATAACTTACATGCTTTGCGGGGATCAAGCATAAATAAAAAGTAGGAAAATAGGTTCGGCGGCTCACATGTTTGCCCGATACCTCATACCGGCTCAGCCTTTTGGCTCGGCTACTCCGGAGAGCCCAACCCAGCCCTCCCAGCCCAGATCAGAGCCGCGTTCATCGGCATCGCCGGCATCGATATGATGGCTGGCTGTCCCAAGTTGCCTCGTAAAGCGCGCCCACTTTGCTCGCTGCGCCGAGCCACGCTTCATCCCACTTATCTCCTGGCAGCCCGGCATAAAATTTTGCCGTAAATGTAGTATATTTGTTCGGCGTTGTTGATTTTCCACGGCACGCCCGCCCTTAGCGCGCCCTCGCCCTCCAGCTCCGGCACAGAGGGCCCAACCTCATCCGAAAGTGTGCAGGTTCAAGGACCCAGCACAACACTGCCCGAGCCCTGGCTGTCGGCGACTTCCCCGAGAATGTCACTCACCTAACCAGGATTTCAAATGTGTGTTGTTCTTTTCACTGAGTCGAGGCTCAAGCTTGAGGGTGTAGTGGGTTCAATTGCCCAAATGTGGATTCGAATATGATGAGATTCCCATTTGCTCTCCACCAGCCCGGTGAGTATCGACAGCAATATCCCACGTCCATCCCCCCTGTGCATGGTGTATCGCCATCGCAGCGAGGAGTATTGCGAAACAGAGCATAGGCCCAGTGTGACAGGTACCTGTCAAAATGTGATTCCCTGGATCAAATCGGCTGTCTCAAGACTACTATGTAGACAAATTGTTGCAGAGAAAGAAACTTTTCTTTCTTAGATACCCAATTGTCAGCCATCATTTCTGCAGCCACATAGAATACTTGCCCAGCTGTCAATTCCAGATGCGCTTTTAATTATGATAAAGCTCGTCTAATCTACTTTATCAGTGAAGGAAATGTTTAACATGGAAGAAATCTTTCCGTTAAGGGAAAATGACGCTAACAAGTTCTTAAGAAAGATCTCTTTTCCAGAGTCCTTCATGTCATTAATTTGATTTACTAATGATAGAACTTCTTTGACGTGAAGATCAAGATATTATATTGTACCTAATACTGCAAATCAACTTAGCAAGGAGTAGGAAGTATTTTAATAGCTCTTGGCAACTAGATTTTAAAATATTTTAGTGGAAACCAAGGTGTAAGACCGAGGTCAAAATCATTACTCAACGCACATTTAGTTAATATCAAGCACAAACAATATCTAATGCTCTAGTGCCTATTTGTTTATAAATTCCTCAGCCTTCTCTCTATGAATGAGCTCTCACCTGTTGGGCCATGTTGGAAGTTAGAGGTTTCTCACATAATTGAGATCGCCAAGATAAGTGATATAGCATCAAGTAAGGTAACTTGCAATAAAAGAGGTGAAATTTGTTGCAATAAAATCCTCAACCAATTCAGAAATGACTTCTAGTTTTAGCAGCAAAGAATCCTTTTGAAATTAGAGTGCTAATGTAAGTCACGTCAGACCCACAGCCATGCAGAAGACTAAATTCTGTGACAGGATTTATACTTGGGAACAATAACAGGAACATGGATTTTTTGAAGATTTAATGGCTTAGAAAAGAACAGATTACTTGGCGTGTTTACGCATCTGGGTGAGGATGTTGGAAAGCTCTTCACGCTTCCTCTTGGCACGGATGTGGGTGCCCAACTGCAAAGAAAAAACTTGAAATTAGATGGATAAACTTAACTTGGGTTACGAGCTAGATCCTACACATTTCACTACTTCAAATAACAAGAGTTAGAAATATACATGTTGTAAACAATTTTGGGAAGAAATAATGCATAATGCTTTCAAAATAAAAGGTATTGCACTTTGCGAGAACCAATGTGCACCAAGAAGTTACAACCACATCATGCAAAAGTGAAGTTACTAATTGACAACCTAAAGTAAGATGAATAATTCACTCACCCTCCTCTTCAGGTACTTCAGAGCTCTCTTATCCTTGGAAACCTTCAACAATTCCATAGCTCTCTTTTCATAGGGAGCGTGGCCAACAACCTCACGGATCAAGTCTCGCACAAATTTAGTGTGTTTGGTTTGGAGCTAGAACGAAACGAAAATTGAAGTAAGACAAAGTTAAGCTAATTACATGACAAAGTAAAGACTGTGTCCAGTATGACACAAAAAATGGTTACTTACACCCTTGGTTCTGGAAGGGCGCATCCTGTTCCTCTTGTCAACAGTTGCAGCAACAGTCTTGAGGGTACGGATTTTGGTGGTCCTGTGCCCCTTGTGGAGGCCCACAGCCATTTCGTAGCGCGGCGCCATTTCTGCAACGCAAAACAGAAAACTTATACGAGCGCCAGTGGGACATAAACAAGCCTAGGTTAAGCATCACCCTAAACTACAGACAAATGTAAACAAGAATGAAAACTCTTCGACACCCGCCAAGGTAGAAAATGAGAAAACTGAACGGGAACACGAGCCAAATAGGTACACAAGAAACTTTCTACTTTAGCTGGAAAACTCATGACAAGAGAATATTGAAACCGGCCAACAAGCCAATCTGAAGAGGAACACATAGTACATTCTAACTTTAAATTTAGGTCACTTAAAGTAGCCACAATTCGGTACGTTGAATTGAAGATGAAAACACTTCAGAAAATTGAAGAAAACCGTACGACAACGGTAAACTAATGCGCCAAGCACAACCACATCAACAAGGAGGTTAGGCACCCTCGTTATTGATGTACGAAATGAATATCTCGCAGACTTAGGAAAAAATTCAAAAAATGAGGATGGCGAGTGATCGGACAGAATATTACCGACACTAAGAGCCCGGATAAACAATTCAACGGGCAAAGATTACACAAACACTTCACGATAAATTTCACAGCACACGTACCTACTCGAGTTTACTTCACGTCGCGACACACCGGAAGAAAGCCTTCTTTGCTGACCGGGGTTCGGTCGGCCGAGCGTGCTTTTCTTCTTTTTCGCATTGATGGACTCAAGCGTTTGAAACTGTTTGCGACCAGAAATCCAACCATTTGGCAGATGGCGCTGTTGTCGAATTATCGAATTTAGGATTTAGGTGGCCGTGATTTGACAGCTGCTCTACTTCTGCTTGTTTCTTTTTGTCAATATATTTTTGTTGAACGTTTTTGCCGTATTCCTGTGATTTTCGTACTAAAACACACCAGGGGAATATTTGACGTAAGTTTGCCAGTTTTAATTGACATTCAAGTGTCTTTTCCGTGCCTATTATTTCGTAGCCCGTAACCTTTCGTATTTGTATACACATTGAATGAGATGTTCCACTTTAGTAATTTCTTAACGTAAGTCACATTTCTGGAAGAATTACAGTGAAAGATGGTCTGGTTAGTTTCTCTTTGAATTGATCGCGGTTTTTTTCTGAATGTGGAACTGTCCATGTACTGTTTGATCAATATATCCGTTAACCACAATGATCTCCAATATTCCTTTTCCTTTATTTCTGCTTCTTGTAATCATTTACAATGTGAACATCATAATATGAGTATATCATTCTGCAGATGTCCCTGACTATTCAGCAAATTCTCTCTGATGCCAAACGTCTTGCAAGTCGATTGAAAGAACACGATACTGCTGCTGATGTTTTGCTGTCCCAAACTCAGTTGGTTTACAAACAACTTGATGCCATGAAACAGGTCAGTTCAATTTTCACCTTCTCTATTTTGAGCTGTCCATGTTGAACTTTTTTTCTATTTCTTGTTTTTAAATTTTCCCTCAGTATCAGGAAGATGTGAATGAATTAAATGAGGTGGCACGACAGAGACCACATGCAGCTTTAGCTGCTGGTATTCAACAAGAAAATCGTCATTTGCGGAAATTACAACAAGAAAATCGTGAGCTCCGAGCTGCACTGGAAGAACATCAAAATGCTTTAGAATTGATCATGAGCAAGTATAGGCAACAGACTGATACTCTCATCCGTCAAAATAAAATGGATTTTACAAGAATGTGTAATGCTACTGATATGGATGTAAGTCTTTCTTTTGAATTATTCTCCTTTAATCTGTTTAATGTGCTGCTGGACTGTGAGTGAAATTATCATCTAACCTTTGCAGAAAGTACACGAACAGTCAGAAAAGATCAACGAAATGGCTGCAGTTATGAACAGAGTTGCAGCAATGGATGAAGAAAGTTCCATTCGAGACATAGAAAACATGACCCAATTATTAACAGAAAATAGGGTAAGAAGAATTTATATCCATATTTACTACTGTTCTAGTTTCAAAAAGTAATTTTGTTAATGCTGTTATGTTCTGTCTTTATTCCACAGGGCCTTAGAGAAATGCTTCAAATTTCAAGAGGGTCGTATAATGCAATCCAACAAGAAGTTCAACCAAGCGATGAGGCAAAGGCAGCTTTGAAAGAAACTGATGAGTAAGATGATTATTGTTTATGATAGAAGCTACCACAAGCTGTGCTTAAGGAATTGACTGTTTAATATGTAGGTTGTCTCTTTAAAAGACCAGATTGTCCAAGGAATAACTTTTAGTATTTATCAGGAATATACCGTATATTATTACATGTACTACAGTTTGACCGACCAACCGTTTATGAGCTGAAGAAATTCATGATAGAGCTGTAGATGAAAAATTTACTGAAAACACAAAGGCTTCTATTTTCAGGTGTCTGGGAATTACATGTTATTTTTATGATCATGATTACTAATGTCAATTAGGTGTCAAAGTTTATATTGTTCATAAAAATAATAAAATACTGTTTTTCTAGTGGGAGTATCTACCTTTTATCTGATGTGAACTGACATAAAAATATCTAAAAATACTTTCTTTTCACTTTCATGTGATCTTTTCACTACTTTCTCTCAAGTGAAAACTTAAAATAACTCAAATTGGCATTTTGTACAATAGATGTCTTATTTGAGGCAACTGTAAAACTTTAAGAACTTGTTCTCTTGTCACGTTTTGTTTTTGTTCTGTGATGTACTTGCATTAGTTAAATCATCAAATTGTTTTTCCTGATGATGCCCATACTAATTTACTTTCCATTTCTGGGCAGCATGAAACTCCATAGTAAAGCGTTAAAAGAATATCACTTGTAAGTCTTTTCTTTTTTACTTTTGTATAATATGCTAAACCCCTAATTTTAATTAACTGTTGATATTATGTTCTTTTTCTGTTATGTTTTTTTGATATGATACATTAGAAAATGTGCAATATCATGTGTCATGTGTGGTGAATTTAGCCTTGTGAGGCAGAGGCGCCCTCACCTAAGCTGAGCCTGCTGTCCTGATGCTGGGATTGGCTAGCCCAGCATGGCAAGCCAATCAAAGTCCTCAAAACCTCTGAGAAAAGCTGGCGCAGCTGAGGTAACGCGCCTGTCTCACAGGACTAAATCCACCTGTATGAAACTGCTATAAAATTTTGTTTTTGTTATGAAGTGTAATATACAAAAATTTTCAGCTAAGGTTTTGTTATTATTCCATATCAATCCATGTCCTAACAAAAGAGACGGATTTATACCGTTGCCGAGTTGCCAGTTAGGAGTAACCTGGAGCAGCAATACGCAGGAATTTCTTTTAAAATGTCTAAACTTTACTGTCTTGTAACAGCAATTGTCCAGTGCTCAACATTAATTTTTGTCAAATATTTAGTTTTCAGTTAAAAGCCATGCGGTAGTTAAATAAGTTGATAACCTATCACGATGGTAGGGACTGTTTTCTTATAATGAGGCGACTAGTAAGAGTTCTGGAATTCTGGAAAGATTGAAATCCCTTACTGTGAAGATGGGTGTTAGGATTCTGTTTCAATTTCATCTAGTTAAAAATTCATGTGACAACATAAAGTGAAATTTTATTTAAAATCTCAGAGAAATAAGTATCACAATAGTCCTACAACAAAGTTTCAAATTTGGAAAGCTTAAATATAACCCAAAAAAAAAAAAAAAACTTCCGAGTGGTTGGTGGAAAGGGGACATTTTCTTCGTCTTCTGGAATTGTTATCTCCGCTTGCATGTTGGGAGCTGCATAAAAAATTAATGAACAACAAATAATGTGATGTTTGAACAAAATCTGAAGTGGCATCCTAGAAGTGATCCACCCATCAGGTTTCTTATACCAAAATTAAATATGTATTATATTCCCATTATTTCTTGAAAAGAAAAAAAAAACAGAATAGGAATGTGTTGGAAATGTTGGGTGATGGATGAAAGATCTGTTTGATAGGGCCACAGTAACATAGAAATCTTGGTGAAAAGGGATCAAATAATATAATTTTATTTTACAATTTTAAAACCACCTACATTCAGGTCAAAATTGGGGGATGACTATGGTAAGATATTACAATTCAATGTTTAATGCCAGAGCTAAGGAGGAGAGAGTCACCTCAATCCACATCTATTCTGGTCTACCACTTCTGGTTTTTCGAAATGCATACCATGAACACATACAATAATGCCACACGGCCACTTTGTATTCGTGGGGGGATGACGCTTTCCCAGTATTTAAAACAGCTAGCAGTTAACAAGTAAAAGTTGGGGATTTCTAGACAAATAGCCACATGTTTTTGAGTCTCTTATGTGTACACAATTAATCTCAATTCATTCTTTGAAATTTTTTCGTTTTAGAATATTTTACATGCTTTTCTAACATTCAAAAAATCTTCTGTAAACAACCAGTTTCCTGTATAAATCAACATTTTGTCGTTGTACTGAGTTTACTCCATGCTTTTCAACTATTTATTTCTTTCAATGTGTCAAACATGGTCAAACGTAGAGAAGCATCCCTGCATTTCGCATCGAGGTTCTTGAATTAAACACAATTACACAACACACACAACGCAACCATAGGGTCGTTTATACATAGTCTTGGTGGGCAACCGCCGGTTACGACGATTCCCACCCTCAAAACTCGAACAATATCTCGTGCTCGTCACCTTCCAGGAGTGTCTTTGCGTTCAATCCATAATGATGAATCTCTCCAAACAACAGCCATTGTTTCTGGTACGAAGAGTTCCATGGCTTTGGGGTCTCAGACTACCTCGAACGTCATTATTAGCCACATCACATCACTTCAGTCCACTTCCGTAGAGCGTGCGGGGCACGTGCCCTGCTGCCCGGCCGGGCTCCCGTGCTGCATCAGGGCCATCATCTCCGGGCGAGGGAGCCGCGCGCGCCGAGCACCACCAGCAGCAGCATGAGGGAGGCCGGCATCGCGGCCAGCGCCGCCGCCGCGTTGGGCTGCGTCACTGTGAGCAGGGCGAGAAGAGCACCATCATCAACACTTCCAAGAACACCCACAAAGTCTAGCTATACATAGGTAAGCCGATGGCTAATTACGAGATAACTCACTGAAAACGCAAGTGTGTGAATGCCCATTTCGTTCAACTAAAGGGAAGTAAGGTTGTGAAAAATGTTCCTTTGAAAATTCACACACGTGTGCCTCCAAGTGTACGAATGGCGTTCACACTCTTACAAGTGTGCGACATTCATACACATGGTTTAACGGTGTAATTAATTATCTACAGACATGGCTATATAGCTAATTTTTTTAGCAAGCTAAAGTTTAAGCTCTATAGCTAAAATTTTAGCTACGTGGCTAAATTTTTAGCTAGGCCTACATGGCTGAAGTTTCATCTAACTACAATTTTAAATAATTAGTCATCCCGTATCTCGCTATTGGTTAATCTATACAGCTATTTTTTTTTTCCCTTTTTTCCGTACAACCTCTCGGAGGTTACGGGATGCGTCCGCGGCAGAACCGGGTGATTCAAAGAAGACGCAGGTGCAGGCGGATTTGCCTATCCGCTCCGCTCTGCCCGTAAGGCGCCATAGCCCCTTGGGTAGGCAGACCCGCCCGCACCCGCGTCTTCTCTTAAACACCCGGTACGTACCTCGCTCGGGGACCGGATGCTTGGTCCGGCGACTCAGCCGCGTGTACGCGTTGTGGACGGCCAGGTTGGGCACCTCGGCGTGGCAGCGCAGCACGACCATCTCGCCGCCGTCCCGGTCGCGCCCCGTCCCGGCGTTGAAGTGCTTGTCGGCGAGGCGGAGGCGGAGCTCCAGGCGGGTCTCCAGCAGCCCCGTTGACGTGTTGCGCACCTCGGGCACTCCCTGTCCCACCTGCAAGAACGTGGAAGGTAAAGTCAATCAGTCATCGTTTAATACGTGTCCAGGCGGAAATAACCTGACCGAGCATAAAGATTAGGCGGGGGCACCTACAATGAACGTTTCCCGAATTGAAGCGAAAAGAAACTAAACACGTCAACGTCATACGATCTTTTCCATCAAACCATTCCCCGCTCTTGTACGATCTGAGCGGGCCGCCGGCCTCGCACACCTGCTTGGCGGGCTGGCCTACCATGCCCAGCAGGCTGCCGTAAGCGTCGACTCGTGAAACGTCCATTGTGTGCACACCATACAATAGGAATCCTGTATTTGAATTTTGTTTTGGATTGTCGTTTATTCGAAACCCCTCCCGATGAAAGTAACAATCTGTCTGCATCGCTCATATGGCCACACACAGGTGGGGACGACGTTCCCCATCGGCGCCCATCGGCATACGCTTGCCTATCCATGCCACGGCGGAGGAGACGTCCTGAACAATGCCGGATGTGAGAGCGCACGTCCACTTAACTCGACAGGACACTATTTTTCTCCCCTGCAAAAGTTGCGCCCCGCAGGTTCTCGCTGACGCATCTCTGCTCATTTTTATTACATTTCCCCCCTCCACACGAGAAGCGCACGAGATGCTGGACACGACAATCCAGTTTTTTTCTTTGAGTTTTTATTCCCTTCGCAAGGAGACGTTGGTGTCGCGCGTCGTCAGGGTTGAATCAGCAGGAGAAGTCCGGCTTGAATTTTTTTGGAGGGTGGTGCCTCTGCTGTGTCCTATCCGATCCCATGGTCTGTGCAGCAAGGCCCGTCCACTGGCTTCCTGCACTCAAAACGCGGTGCCGGTCTCCAGCAAGCCCGGCCTCCAGTCCCGGCCTCCAGCCCAGCCTCCAGCCCCCTGCCCGGCCTCCAGCATCCAGCTCCAGCTCCCGCCGGGACCGACACCGAGGGCCTTGGCCAGGACCCACTGCCGCCCCGCCTGCGGCTGGCCTACAGATCGAAATCTCATAAAAATTCAATGAGTTGGAGTGAGCCGGCGGGCCGAGCTCGAGCCGACCCCCGCAGCAGACAGACCCCGGGAGGGGCCTTGGACGCCGCGCCGGCCCCCGGGTCTCTGGCCCTGGGAGGGCGCCGGAGGGGCCACGTGGGGCTCCGCGCGCCCCGCCCCGCCTGCCAGACGCCCCGCCACGCTCACGGACCAGTCGCGCCGCGCCGACACGCCGCCACAGCGTCAGGCCCTTGGGGACAACTAGGGTGCGAAAAGCAAGAGGAGAAACGGAAGGAGGAGGACGGGGGGTGTGGTGTGGCGGCGGACGGCGTGCGAGTCGGAGGGAGACGGAGATAGAGAGGGGTGGGGCGGGGGATGATAAAAAGGCTTGTGTAGGCCACAATCCACGACCCCATCGTGTTATATTGGAATCCCGGCATGCACGACCGCCACGCCACGCCGCGCCTGTCCCACGGGCCCCTGGGAGGTAGGCAAAAGGAAATGCAAAGGGCCCCGCAGACGCACACGTCCCGGCGCCCGCCACCCCGCCGCCTCCACCAAGCCCACCCGGGCTGTCGGCGAAACACACGAAAAAAAGCTCCAGCGCGATACGATATAGGCTCGATTCGGCGAAAATGCACTCGCTCGCATGGCTGGTTGTGTGAGCTGCGAGGGCTGCTGGCTGCGCGGCTGGGCCGCGGGGGAGCGCAAAAGGTAAATGTGGTGTGAGGTGCCGGCCAGACCCAGCGGGCGAGGGGGGCGACGCGCAAGACAAATGGGGGGCGGAGGGCGGGGACGCCGCCATGAGCGACCCTCTCGGTGCAGCAGCTCCGCGCCGCCCCTCGCGCCGCCCCTCGCGCCGCCTCACACCTCATTGCCTCCAGTGCCGCCGGCAGACTTCCGGCGAAGAAATACCTCATGAAGTCCTGGTGGAGCTGCCTCTCTTCCTGCCTGCCTCCTTGCCTGGCTCGCCGGCCGGCCCGGCGGGGCGGGTTCGGGTTCAACGCTTTGGCGCTGCTGCTGCCCCTGCTGTTCTCCTTGGGGTGCACGGGGGGGCGGCCCCGGCGCCAGTGCGGCGTGCGGCCCCCCAGGGGGGGACGCGCGAGCACGCGAAGTGGCCCCGTTACGCGGAACAGGCGCTCCCCCCTTCCCTTCCCCTCGGCCGCGCACCTCCTCGCAGCCCGCGCGCCCACCAGCAGCACAGTCCGCGGATGACAACGATCGACGCTGCCCGAGCAGCCCGTCCGCTCCCGCCAAGTTGCGCCATAAAAACGGGGAGCAGGGAAGATAATGTTACGATGACTGGCTCTTGATTTCCATGGATGTTCCAAACTTTCCTGGCCCGGCAGCGGCGGCGGTGGCGGCCCCGCGCGTCCTCGGCGAGGGAAGTCTCGGCGGGCCTCCGCGGCGCTCGCGCGGCACGCTGATGACGAACGAACGGCAACGCGGCACGTCGGTCGGAGTCGGCGTTACTCAACACCCCGCCGCGCCACGCTACGCCTCGCCACGCCACCCTGGGTCGCCTCAAAGGGAAGCGCGCGCGGGGAGCCGAGCACAGCAATCAGAAGAGCAATCAATGATCCCATGACGCGCCCGCTTTGGCGGCGCGGCGGACTCTGCTCCCGCTCCTTCCCTCTCGCCGGGTTGGGTTCCTCCTCTCTCCATCCACCTTTAGCCGGTGTGCGCGCAGCCCTCCAGCCTCCCCCCACCCCCTC